AAAAAAAAAAAAAAAAAAGGCTCCCAAGTAGATCCTTTGCAATCAAAATTGCAGGTGGGCATTTGGTCTAGTGGTATGATTCTCGCTTTGGGTGCGAGAGGTCCCGAGTTCGATTCTCGGAATGCCCCTTAGGTTTTTGCATTTTGCATCTAATTTTTGGGTTTCGACATTCTGTGTGCCCATAGGCGCATCCAAATTTTAGCCATTCCGTCTATACTTGAATTACGCTTTACGGGGTAAGTTTCTTCTGCCGTCGCTGAACTTTAAGAAAAATATTAATTTGGTCATTAAATTTTAATTTAGTTTTGAATTTCAGCTGTCATGTTATTTATTTATTATTCACCAAATTCGCATGCCACACAATAATGATGCAGAAAACTGATTAAAGTTTGATACCAATTAAGTAATTTCAAGGGATTGTGTGCAGAAATGGTCCCTACTGTTTGTACTTGCTGCAGATGAGGACTTAACCTTTCATTTTTTTTTTGTATTTGGATCCTTGTTTCAACCTTTGACTACGTAATTGGTCCATCCGTTAGTTTTTGTTCAATTTTCCCGTTAAAAGGGCATTGATTTTTCCAGAAATTAGTGAAGTGTTACCAAAATAGAGATATTATTACATAAATGTACGTATTATGCACATTGATTCGACAAGAAAGACCAATAAAGTGATAAAAGACGAAGTTACTCTTATGAAAGAAACTATGTGCATTGCATGCGTGCCTTTATCTAACAGAAATGACCAATTGTACAGTCGAAGGTTGAAATAGAAATTCAAATGCCAAAATTGAAAGGACGTCTTCAATCTGTAGCAAGTGCAAGATACATGCTATTTGTGAAAAAAGCCAATTTTCATCATCTGAAAGACAACACGTGATGAAGTGGTGAAATTTGAAACCAAGTTGAAGTTTATAATCCAATGTGAAACTAAAGTGAAGCTTAGTGACCAAATTGAGATAAATTAAATTTCAAAAAGCTAATTGATTTTTTCTTTGAAACTTTAGTGACCAAAGATGAAATTTACCCTAAATTGGAATACAAAATTGCCCTCAAATTCACACATTCAAATAAACTTCACCTCCTTATCCTATCTTCTTCTTCTACGCTCCCACTTTGTCTCACTAAATTCAACAATGGCTTCCACATTATCCTCTATTACCCTCCGTCCATCATCTTATCCTGCACCCTATGCCGCTTATCCTGCGCATCCCTCAGCCACATTTCCAAAACAATCCATTGAATTCCCTAAAAAAACCAACCCCAATCCCCGCTGTCGCAGCCGCGCCACCTTCTTTCGCCCCCTCGCCGCCGTAGAAGCCCCCGAGAAGGTTGTCG